ATACTGTCCCCAGCACTGGGTGCTACAGCTCCCACAGCTACCTATGAGTACACGAAACCCCCACACCCAGAGCCCACGCTCTCCCTGCCACATGCCCAGCACTGTCCAGCCCAGGAGTGCCTACCCCTGGCACACCAGGGCAAGCCACTGGGCAGCAGGCAGAGCGAGGCACAGGGAGTCGAGCCTGGGAAAGGCTGCTGCTCCTAACACTGCGTGAGCCCGGTCTCTGCTATTGTCAGTCTTGAACCGATGCCAGTGCAGTACCAGGGATGGGACGGACAATCAGCTGATTGCCAGCCCCAGCCCCTGAACTCATATGATCTCTGTGGAGCAGTCGGATGATAGCTGAACATGTGTTACTTAATATGATATGGAGATACTCCTCCTACAAAAAAGTTGTAAGTTTGCTATAACCCAATCACACCACTTAGCAAGTTTTACTGCTTGAATGTGCAGATGCTCATGCTATACGTGCAGTTAACACATCCTAAGCATAAGATGAGTATGGCCCTTTGTCTAGACCCATGTAACATAGCCACAAATAGCAGACGCAGCCTGGCAAAGAGGGTGGCAGAGCCCCTCATAAAAGGCTCAGCCTCCAGGGGCATCACACAGCTCAATGAGGAGAGGGTTCAAAAGACCCTGCTGCTCTAGGAAAATCGGATGGTAAAGGTTTTGCAGCCCCCAAGCACAGACAAGGCTCTGAAAAGGGGATGGATCCATAAGAGAGATGTGGGAGAGAGGCAGAGAGAAAGATGCAGAGAAGAGAGCATATCTTGCTGGAAGTGTCCTTTCACAAAGGTCATGTTTTGCTACATTAGGCAGAAATGTCAAGAGAAAATTGGATTCTGAAAGAGGAAAGAAAAAACAAAACAGGCTTTCCACGCAAATAAGGAAGCAAAAATAGCATGATCGTGTTATTACAATTTAGGGCACAGCGAGATGGGAAAAGGAAACATCCTCCCTAACGCAAGCAGTTTTGTCAGGCAGACGCGCTCCTCTTAACTTTGTTCGTTCTCCATAACCCTCTGAGAACTAAAAGCAAGCCAGGAGAAGAGGAGATGCATTGCCACTTGCTCACATCTGGCAGGAAATGCCCCTTCCAAAGGGCTGGGACACTGTCTGATCCGATAGGCAACATCTGTCGCACACAGTGGGGAGGGACACGCACTCGCAACTTCCATCTTGGGAGTTCAACAAAGACGCATAAAAGGTGGGAGGTCCTAGGTAGTAAGGACAGGCACTCGATACTCTTCACTTAGCAGTGTCACTGATCTCCAGACTGTACTTGGTAGCCCAAAAGCTTGCAGAAAAAGATTTTTTTTTTTTTTTGCGATTTCCTAGTTGGTCTAATAAAAGGTATAATTGCTAAACCAAGAGTACTAGATTTTTAGTGATCTCAAGAGGTTTTTGGGGGATTCTTTGGATTTTTTTTAACAAACGTTAAATTAAAAATACATTATTATGGTTGCAAAGTTAAGCGCTCAGATGTTGGAAAATGCCAGAATTGAATCTGTGGAAAGCTCTATTTGCTCCTCTTTGTGTGCATGGACGATGATCCAGTCTCTACTTACATGATTACATTCTATTTTTCCTCTGGGATTTCTGCCTCACACAGGGCACCAAATGGACAGTACTCACTTAATGAGTGCTATTCAATATCTTTTCTCTTTGTTTTTCAGTGCCCAACCCCATGTCTCATTCACCACCCACCATTCACAGCCTGGCCTGAACAACGGGTTCTTCCTTTTTTCATGGGATTTTCTCTAGTGTTCATCACCCGAACATCCAGGTAACTCAAAAATATTAATGAATCATTCCCACTTCATGTTAAGATGCAGAAGTGAGATTAAGGTTAGAAGTACCCACGCATCTGGGATGCCTACATT